CTAAGTTGAAATATTATCTAAATCCTGTTGTGACATTTGCATTTTCATACACTAAATGTACCAACTATTATGGGACAAAAGTCATTTACAATTGAAGTTTTGACAGATCAACAAGACAAAATAACAAGTTGAAATATTATCCCTGTCTCATAATAGTTGTGACATTTGTGTATGTACACTAAATGTACCAACTATTATGGGACAAAAGTCATATTACAATTGAAGTTTTGAAGATCCCAAGACAAAATAATTGTTGAAATTCTTATCCCTGTCTCTTAATCCTGATATTTGCAAGCAGTGTTCCCATACTAAATGTATTGCATTATATTACAAAACCTCTGTCCCAATAATGTTTTGACAGATTTACAAGACAAAATAACAATTACCAACTATTATGGGACAGAGGTAAATGTACCAACTTTATGGGACAAAAGTCATAATTGAAGTTAATCCCAAATTGGAAGGATTGCTGCTAGTTCTACAAAAATCTGATTTCTATTGTACCAACTATTATGACAAAAGTTTATTACAATGTTTTTCCAGATCAACAAGAAAAATAACAAATTGAAATATTATCCTGTCCCATAATAGTTGGTACATTTAGTGTATGAAATTCATACATGCAAATGTACCAACTATTATGGGACAAAAACAAGTTGAAATATTATCCCTGTCTCATAATAGTAACAATATAAATGTAAATAATTCAACAATCCCAAATTGGAATTATTGCTGTCTAGTTCATAAGCTGATTCTCTTTAATCCTGATATGCAATTGAAGTTTTCCCAGATCAATTGATTGCAATAACATTGAAATATTATCCTCTGTCCCATAATGATTGGTACATTTAGTGTATGAAATGTGTATGCAAATGTACCAACTATTATGGGACAAAGGTCATAATAAATAATTCTAATCCCAAATTGGAAGGATTGACAAAATTCTAAGTTGATTCTCTTAATCCTGATATGCTATAGTGTTCCCATAGAAATTGATTGCAATTTTAGACACTAAATGTCCCAACTATTATTGGACAAAAGTGTATTAAATGTGTTTTGACAAATGATCAACTATTAAAATAACAAGTTGAAATATTATCCCTGTCTCATAATAGTTGTGACATTTGCAAGCAGATTTCACACCTAAATGTACCAACTATTATGGGACAAAAGTGATATTACAATTGAAGTTTTGACAGATCAGAAAAGATTGCAATAACAAGTTGAAATATTATCCTCTGTCCCATAATAGTTGGTACATTTAGTGTATGAAATTTCATATTACAAATTGAAGTATGCAAATGTACCAACTATTATGGGACAAAAGTCATATTAAATTGAATTTTGACAATCCCAAAATAACAAGATTGAAATATTATCCCTTCTCATAATAGTTCTCATTTAATCCTGATAATGTACCAACTATTATGGGACAAAAGTCATATTACAAATTGAAGTTTTGACAGATCAACAAGACAAAATAACAAGTTGAAATATTATCCCTGTCCCATAATAGTTGTGACATTTAGTGTATGAAATTTCCTACACTAAATGTACCAACTATTATGGGACAAAAGTCATATTACAATTGAAGTTTTGACAATCCCAAAATGGAAGTTGAAATATTATCCCTAAGCTGTTCTCTTTAATCCTGATATGCTACAGTGTTCTATTTCATAATAGTTGTGACATTTCCTGGGACAAAAGTCATATTAATGTGTTGACAGTTCATGCAAATGTACCAACTATTATGGGACAAAAGTAATATTAAATTGAAGTTTTCCCAAATTGGAAGACAAAATAACAAGTTGAAATATTATCCCTGTCTTTAATAGTTGTACATTTGCAAGCAGATTTCCATACAAAATGATTGCAACTATTATGGGACAAAAGTCATGTCCCAATTGAAGTTTTGACAGATCAACAAGACAAAATAACAAGTTGAAAATTATCCAACTCATAATAGTTGTGACATTTGCAATCTTTCTAATCCCAAATGTACCATTGCTATTATGGGACAAAAGTCATTTACAATTGAAGTTTTGACAGATCAACAAGACAAAATAACAAGTTGAAATATTATTCTGTCTCATAATAGTTGTGACATTTGCATAGATTTAAAAAATGTGGACAAAAGTCATATTACAATTGAAGTTTTGACAGATCAACAAGACAAAACATGTTGAAATATTATCCCTATCTAAATTGGTGACATTTGCTGCTAGTTTCATACACTAAATGTACTCTTTATTATCCAAAAGTCATATTACAATTGAAGTTTTGACAGATCAACAAGACAAAATAACAAGTTGAAATATTATCCCAGAAAGTCTCATAATAGTTGTGACATTTGTAAGCAAATTTCATACAAATAAATGTACCAACTATTATGGGACAAAAGTCATATTACAATTGAAGTTTTGACAGATCAACAAGACAAAATAACAAGTTGAAATATTATTCTGTCCCATAATAGTTGTGACATTTTAGTGTATTTCTACACTAAATGTACCAACTATTATGGGACAAAAGTCATATTAAATTGAAGTTTTGACAGATCAACAAGACAAAATAACAAGTTGAAATATTATTCCCTTTAATCCTGTCTGACATTTAATCCCATAGACACTATTTACCAACTATTATTTCATACACTAAATGTACCAACTATTACAAAATAACAAGTTGAAATATTATCCCTGTCTCATAATAGTTCCCAAATTGAAGTTTTTCATAAATCTAATGTACCAACTAAATAACAAAAGTCATAATACAATTGAAGTTTTTCCAGATCCCATTGAAATAACAAGTTGAATATTATTGCAATAGCAGATTTCATACATGAAAAAAATGTACCAACTATTATGGGACAAAAGTCATATTACAATTGAAGTTTTTCCAGATCAACAAGACAAAATAACAAGTTGAAATATTATCCCTTGCTCATAATAGTTGTGACATTTGCAAGCAGAATTCTGATTTCAATGTTCACTAAATGTACCAACTATTATGGGACAAAAGTCATATTACAATTGAAGTTTTGACAGATCAAACATTAGACAAAATAACAAGTTGAAATATTATCCTGTCCCATAATAGTTGTGACATTTGCAAGCAGATTTCATACACTAAATGTACCAACTATTATGGGACAAAAGTCATATTACAATTGAAGTTTTTCCAGATCAACAAGACAAAATAACAAGTTGAAATATTATCCCTGTCTCATAATAGTTGTTCACATTTGCAAGCAGATTTCATACACTAAATGTACCAACTATTATGGGACAAAAAGTCATATTACAATTGAAGTTTTGACAGATCAACAAGACAAAATAACAAGTTGAAATATTATCCCTGTCTCATAATAGTTGTGACATTTGCAAGCAGATTTCATACACTAAATGTACCAACTATTATGGGACAAAAAATCATATTACAATTGAAGTTTTTCCAGATCAACAAGACAAAATAACAAGTTGAAATATTATCCCTGTCTCATAATAGTTGTGACATTTGAAGTATTATTTCATACACTAAATGTACCAACTATTATGGGACAAAAGTCAATTACAATTGAAAGTTTTGACAGATCAACAAGACAAAATAACAATCCTGATATTATCCCTGTCTCATAATAGTTGTGACATTTGCAAGCAGATTTCATACACTAAATGTACCAACTATTATGGGACAAAAGTCATATTACAATTGAAGTTTTGACAGATCAACAAGACAAAATAACAAGTTGAAATATTATCCCTGTCTCATAATAGTTGTGACATTTGCAAGCAGATTTCATACATGATAAATGTACCAACTATTATGGGACAAAAGTCATAACAATTGAAGTTTTGACAGATCAAAGACAAGACAAAATAATTTGCAAGTTGAAATATTATCTTGTCTTTGACATAATAGTTGTTATCCCTGACATTTGCAAGCAGATTTCCTACACTAAATGTACCAACTATTATGGGAAAAGTCATATTACAATTGAAGTTTTGACAGATCAACAAGACAAAATAACAAGTTGAAATATTATCCCTGTCTCATAATAGTTGTGACATTTGCATGCAGATTTCCTACACTAAATGTACCAAGAACTATGGGACAGATGTAAAATTTCAATTGAAGTTTTGACAGATCAACAAAACAAAATAAAGCAAAAATAAAGATTAGGGAGAAAAGATCAAATATAAACCTTCTATTCATCTATCCCCAAATCAATTGATTGATTCATTCATAGTTTACAGTTTATCGACCCTTATTTAAAGCCAGAAAATATTTTTAGATTGTAAGACTAGATAGTAATAATTTAGTGATACAAGTCTTACTAATTAACCCATAGCTAGGGAGAGAAGAGGTGAATTCATACCTTTTCCAAGTTTATTTGCACGTAAGTGAATATAAAAAATCCAATGGGAATTGGAACCCTGTTCTTTTTTACAATTCCAAGTCATAATCCATTACACCACATGCACATCCAAGACTTACAGCACCTGGTATTCCCAAATGGTCACCCATCTGGTTATTTACCAGGCTCACTGTTGCTTTTTGCTTTTTTAATTGTATGAGAAACAGTGTTCCAAATGTAATGTTATTTTAAACCCCAATTTAATGTATATATATTGAAATATAAATAACAATATTTACCTAACCGTTAAGAAAGTAAATATTTACAGACTATCATTTCATGCAATGAAGATTTATCTATCCTTGAAACAAGTCTTATAGACTCATATACAGGTGCGGAAGCAAAATTCACAAAGAAAGTTTAGTTGCTTTTTCTCAGCAAGTAGTACGCCATTTTTTTAAAACCTACCATATATTGATGCCACAATCATATTTAATATTATTATTATTTATATCTTTTCAGAAACCTTTACCCATATGAATAATCAGGAAAAAAAAAAATGTGAAGGAATCTGTGATTTGCTAAATGCACTTGTTACTGCAAACTGGTTTCTAGAATTAATTGGAGTGTACCTAAAGACTGTTTATAATGTAAAGAAGAGGATGATTATGCGGGAAACTATTAAGAGAAAGTCAGGAAGGGAGGAAGTAATAAAAAAACGTACTAAAAGATTTATCAAAATTCTGAGATCTAAAATCCTAAAGGATCCATGAGAAAATGGCAGTTGAACTTGAAGTAAATAGCAAGACTATCAGAAATGCAGTAAAATTTGATTTGAAATTAAAATTTTATACAAGAACACCAAGACATTTGTTAACAACAGCCATGAAGAAAAACATTGGCAAGGAACAATATAAAATTATCACATGGCTCAAGAAAAAACATATCCATTGTGATGATCTTTTCAGATGAGAAGATCTTCACTGTTGATACTGTATAAAACCGCAGAAATGATAGATATATTGCAAAGTCGGAAGCTGATGTATAAACATTCAGAACAAAATAACCTGCTCAAGTTATATATGTTGGTGTTGTGGCTTCCGATGGAAAAATGATGCCTATAAAATTCTACAAACCTGGTGATAAAATCAATGCTGATACTTATATACAAGACTCTAAGATACAATATATTGCCATGGCTTAAAGCCAACTACCCCGATGGAAATTATTTATGGACACAGGATGGTGCTGCCCACACAGCTAGAAAATACAAGTTTTCTGCAAATCCATCTTTATATTTTTTTGAATCAAGTTTATGGCTGCCCTAGCCCAGATCTGAACCCTATGGATTCTGCTGTTTGGATATTTTAGAATATGCTACCAACAGAACATCATTCAGCAATGTGGACTATCTTAAAAATGCTACCAGGGAAGAGAAGAAATTATCCCAACTTTATTATGAAAATGCGCAAGTTTCATATATATATGTGGAAACAGTTATTGAGAAAAAGGAGGACACAGAGAATAAAAATAGTTTCTAGTATGTAAATTTTTTGTGGAAACTAAATTCCTTCAAGTTTCAATAAACTCATTGGTCATTTAGGTCTTTTAATTCCTGTCTCAAAAATATTGTAGATTTTGTTCCTCAACCTGTACATGCAATTCTCCTGAATAAACTATCTATCCTTGAAACAAGTCTTATAAACTCAAATATAAACCACAAATATATTTACCTATTTAATTGTATATAGATATATATAAGTAACCAATTTTTTCCTCTTCCTGAATTAAATAATTGTATACATATAAACATTTTATATTTATCTATCCCCAAATCCACTAAAAGAGAGTCTCAAATACAAAGAATATTAAAAAATTTCAACAAAGAATAATTATTGTTAAACTGACATATTCCTAAATAAACCAAAGAAATTAAAATAACAAATAAGAAAAGAATGGAAAGAATATATATTATAAAATGGAAAGAATATGGATTATCAGAATAATAAAACAATTGGAAACCAGAACATTATGAAAATCATATTTAATACTGAGTTTTGAATTCCAGTCAGATCCATTACATTCATTTACATTCTAAATACCCTTGGGAAAGGTGTGAATCCTCTTTCTTTTCCCTCCAGCTATGGGTAAATAGCAGGACAGACTTGGTTCTATAGCCTTGGATGGCAACTGGTCTGGTAGAAGAAAAACTCTAAATTCAAAACATGCTGGGGGGTCTTTTGGGGACATTGTGGCACGTTGTGCATCAGGTCTCTGTATTCGACCCTTCAAAAAGTGTGGATGGTTCTGCACAAAACCTTCACCACTATAATCAAATCTATTGTGCTGGTGCCAGTTTCTAGCAACTGATCTGCTTGACTCTCATATGTCGAATCCGACGGGATAGTCAAGTATATCTATCTATCTATCTATCTATCTATCTATCTATATATATATATATATATATATATATATATGGTATATTGTACATGCATATGTCAGTATCCTAGCTTATTTTCATTCTTGGCCAATGGACTTAATTCTGGGCTCAATTTTAATCACAACATTCAAAATTAATTTTGGTTAATTTTTAAAGTTTATATGCATATTTTCATGCGATGATGTAGAAATCAATTATGTCGATGTTGAAAAAATGTCAGTCAACAATGTTTTTTTTTGGGTTTTGCTTAATTTTTAAATATACACTTTGAAGTATAATCTTTTGGAAAAACAAGGAATAGAAATGAATTCACGAGTAAAATAAATATTTTTTGCAATTGTTTTTAACACCAATGCAAAAATACAATTCCAAGGAGCCACTTAATGTATCAACATTCATTCTCTGGCTTCCATGTTTAAAGTCCATCCAGGAAGCAAAAAGAGAATGGTGAATAAGTTTTAAAAAAGGGAAAAGTAGATATGAAAACTGGATCAGGAGGTCACTACAGAAAGAGGGGTAATCATTTCAACTTAGAACTAAAGAGATCAATTAGAAAAGATCCAACTCAATTCATAAGACGTTTGGCATGTGAGAAATGAGTTTCAGCTATGAGAGTTCAAAGAAAAAAAGTAAGAGAAACATAAAGAGGAAAGAAGAAAAAGAAAAAGTGAAAGAAGAATAAAGAGGGTGGAAGAAAAAAGAAAAATGCAAAGGAAAGATAAGGAGAGAAAGAAGAAAAAAAAGAAAATTAAAAGAAATTTGGTAAGAATTTTGAAGAAAAAAAAAAAAGAAATAGAAAAAGGAAGATAAGGAGGGAAGAAGAAAAGGAAAAGAAAATGTAAAAGAAAGATGATGAGTGAAGAAGAAAAAACAGAAAATTGAAAGAATGATAAGGAGGGAAGAAGAAAGAAGAAAAAAGAGAAGAAGAAAAAAAGAAAACAAATAGCAAAAAATAAAGAGAAGAAGAAAAAAGAAAAGAAAAGAAATTTAAAAAAAGAGAGGGAAGAAAAAAAAAAATAAAATGCAAAAAAAAAGATAAAAAGAAAGAAAATTAAAAAAAAAAAAAAAAAAAAAAAAAAATTTTTAAAAATTTTGAAGGAAAAAGAAAAAGAAATAGTAAAAGAAAGATAAGGAAGAAGAAAAAAGAAAAGAAAATTAGAAGAAAATAATAAAGGAAGAAGAAAAAAAAAAAAAAAATTAGAAGAAAATAATAAAGGAAGAAGAAAAAAGAAAAGAAAATTAGAAGAAAATAATAAAGGAAGAAGAAAAAAGAAAAGAAAATTAGAAGAAAATAATAAAGGAAGAAGAAAAAAAAAAAGAAAATTAAAAGAAATTTGGTAAAAAAAGGAAGAAGAAAAAAAAAAAAAAAATTTGAAATAAAGGAAAAGAAAAAAGAAAAGAAAATTATAAAAAAATAAAGGAAGAAAAAAAAAAAAAAAAAATTAGAAGAAAATAATAAAGGAAGAAGAAAAAGAAAAAAAATTTGAAGAAAATAATAAAGGAAGAAGAAAAAAAAAAAAAATTAGAAGAAAATAATAAAGGAAGAAAAAAAAAAAATTAGAAAATTAAGAAATAGAAAAAAACCAAAATTAATAAGAAAATAATAAAGGAAGAAGAAAAAAAGAAAATTAAAAAAAAAAATTTGAAAAAGAAAATAATAAAGGAAGAAGAAAAAAAAAAGAAAATTTGAAGAAAATAATAAAGGAAGAAGAAAAAAAAAAAAAATTAGATGAAAATAATAAAAAAAGAAAAAAAAAAAAAGAAAATTTGAAGAAAAATAATAAAAGGAAAATTAAGAAAAAAAAAAAAAGAAAAAATTAGAAGAAAATAATAAAGGAAGAAGAAAAAAAAAAAAAAAATTAAAAAGAAATTTGAAAAAAAAAGGAAAAGGAAAAAAAAAAAAAAAAAATAAAAAAAAGATAAAAAAAAAAAAAAAAATTAGTAAAAAAAGAAAAAAAAAAAAAAAAAATTTAAGAAAAAAAAAAAAAAAAGAAAATTTTGAAGAAAATAATAAAGGAAGAAGAAAAAAAAAAAGAAAATTAGAAGAAAATAATAAAAAGAAGAAAAAAAAAAAAAAAAAAAAAAAAAAAAATTAGAAGAAAATAATAAAGGAAGAAAATTCAAAAAAAAAAGAAAATTAAATTTGAAAAAATAATAAAGGAAAAAGAAAAAAAAAAAATTAAAAAAAAAAAAGAAAATTAGAAGAAAATAATAAAGGAAGAAGAAAAAAGAAAAGAAAATTAGAAGAAAATAATAAAGGAAGAAGAAAAAAGAAAAGAAAATTTGAAGAAAATAATAAAGGAAGAAGAAAAAAAAAAAAAATTAGAAGAAAATAATAAAGGAAGAAGAAAAAAGAAAAGAAAATTTGAAAAAATAAAAGAAAAAAAAAAAATTAAAAAAAGAAAAAAAAAAAAAAGAAAAAAAAATAAGAAAATAATAAGAATAAAAATAGAAAAGAAAACGTAAAAGGAAAATAAGGAGTGAAGAAAAAAGAAAAGAAACAAATATAATGAAAAAAATCAAACTCATCCTAAGAGCTGTTTTGACTGCAAATCAGTGTGATTTCTCATCTTCAGCAATCCTGTAAACAATTCTTATCAGTCCTCTCCATACCTCCCTATTCTTTCATAATCCACAAAAGTTCTGAAAATCTGATCTTTTTCAATTTTTTATGAATTATGGATTTTTTTTTATAGTTTTTTAATGTTCTTGTTCAATGTGTATATTATGGTTGTTTATTTGGCATTGATGAGAAAAGCAATTCTATAATATTTACTGTCTGTTTCCAAAGCTATTAACTTGTGTTGTCAAACTCTGATATTAATATCAAGTTCTTTGAATTTGGTTTCTTGAAGAGGACATACATCAATGTTCTGATCCAATAATTCCTGCTTTTCTTTTTTCACAAAACCTCTTACATTAAATGTCCCAATGGTGAAATATTTATATGCAACTGGAAGAATTTACCAGTTTTTATCAGTTGGCAACTGGAAAAGTCATTAGCTGCCATGATCACCATCATCAGAGATGTTTCAACTGGAATCGGTGTAATTTCTCTTCTTCAGTGTAATTTTTCCTCTTCTAAAAAAATGAGAATATTAGTTGCAATATAAGGATTGTTTTTCCTTTTATTTTAAGAAAAGACTACTAAACTGTTACGTGATATCTGTCCTGCGAATACTGAAGAAGAGACTCGAAGCAACAGAAATGTGGTTCTACAGAAGGATGCTGAGAATGCCATAGGCCGAACATGTGAGCAACGACGAGGTTTTGAAGAGAATAAAAACAAAGAAAAAATTTATACTTAACACCAGGAAGAGACAGATAAAATGTCTGAGGCACATAATGAGGAAAGAGGGCTTGGAAAATCTGATACTCATAGGACGGATAGAGGGAAAGTTGGACAGGGGAAACCAACACGTAATATATTTGATGAGCTTGAGCAAAGGGATTTTTAAAACAGGGTTTGGGAGAAATAAGAAAAGCCAACACTTATTAATAACTACAAAGGATAGGAAGATGTGGATGGCCATGAACCTGAGGGGACACGGCACATAAAAGAAGAGGAAGGTTAACCGAGCTTATGTTAAACGTTTAACTGCTCCATAAGATGGGAGTGTTTTCCTTGTATAAATTCCCGATGCTAGTCCAATAACAAATAATTCCTGACAGATCATATCATTGAAGCATGATGACCTGACCTTATAGTTATATATAAGGAGAATAACAGGTGTCAAATTATTGACACTTCTGTTTTCATACAAGTGTAGGCTCCCAAAAAATCGAAAAGATAGAAAAACGCCTGGATCTTGCTAGGGATCGGAAGAAGCTATGGAACAGGAATCTACATATAAAAGTCTCTGACTTTTGTTAGTCCGTCCTCACACCCTCTAAAATAGCCATACATCGACCGATCGAAACAAAATTTTTGGGAGAAGTGCAAACAGGGAGTACAAATTACAATTAATTTTGCAAGGGTGCATAGCGTAGTACAATAAATTTTCATTAACTTTTTAGAACAATTAAAAGTTTTAGTATGTAACATGAAAAATACTCCGATTTTTTTAAAAAAAAAAACTTAATAATTAAGATAACAAGTACTTATTTAATAAAAATGCAATATTTTTTTGCATGTCTTTAAGTTTTAATATATAAAAGAATCCAGTTTCCAGTTCGTCCTGTTTTTGCAAGAACTAAAAAAAAAATTACAAGGCTAAACGCTTCAAAAAGTTGGATTTTGGTTCGAGAAAGAAATATTTATGAATAGCCAGTTGTACGTTGCATGCTCAAGAGTAAGAAATCTTAAGTTTTTATTCTTCGCTGTTAAAAAGGAAAAAAAATTTCTTAAAAATATTGTTAATCATGAAGTCCTATAAAATTAAATTAAAGAAATTATTAGTAGGGTTTTGTCAAACTATTTTCCAAGCAAATCGGCTTTTCATCGAATGGTTTGTGAAATTGAACGAGACGTAGAGTTTGTAAATCTCAACAAAAAATGTTAGCAAGAATTTCAGCAATTTTAAATACTGAGAGGGTTTCAGCATGTGTTGTTGTGTTGCAAAAACATTCTACCATAGAACTCATTCAGAAAACTGCAAAAGTACTTACGGAGAATTGGAATTGAGACCAAGATGGTAGAGATGAAGAAAATTGCCATCATTTGCGCAATGAGAATTTTCCCAAAAAGTTCTTGAGTATTTGGGAGTTTTGTTGACACCATGCCTCAAAACCAGAATTTCCATTGACTCCCTCAATTTGTGTACATCCTTCTGTATTTGTATTGCTTCCTCTGATATCATTCTGATCATTATTATAGCATTTCTTGAGAAAGGCGTACTGTTCTTATCCTATTTCTAGTCTAATTCTGCTTCGTGATCTATTCATTACTATTTGGATTATTAGCTTGGTTTTGTGACTTTATTGGAACTCTGAGAGCAAAGTGTGACTTTTTGAAGAGTCAGACAGGAACGGCTCATATAACCCCAGCAGAAGTCATTAATTCTGACTATTCAAGCTAAATGAATGCGTTGAATGTTGCATTGCAAAAGTATTTTTCCAATTTTGTTTTATCTTTTATTTTTTTGTTTTAATGGAGTATATATATATATATATATATATATATATATATATATATATATATATATATATATATATATTTTTTTAATGAATATCAAATATAGGGTGACCCAAAAAAAAGGAACTTTTTAACAATCCAATAAAACCAAGAGTGATGGAAGAAAAATATTTTATTCATAGTAATTGAAACCTTAAAACATGCCATTTAAGAAACAATGATGAAATTTTCATTTTTTAAAAATTACGTCCTGTAGATGGCGTCCTCCTGTACGAATGCATTCTTGAAATCTGCTCATTGACTGCTGCAATATCTCAGCTGGGATACTGTGAATTTCATCTTGAATTCTAAATGGCGAAATGTTTACTTGCTCAAGGTCTCTGTCTCGTAGTGTTGCCACTTGCTCATGTCTGGCAATACGCACTTCAAAAAAAAAAAAAAACTTTTTTTGGATCACCCTGTACTTAAAATACTATAGGTAATAATCTTTATTTCATGAAAGCTATAAGATTAGCATCCATGAAATAAAAATTATTACCTATGATATTTTAAGTTCTTGATATTCATTAGTTAATCATTTTGATCCATCACAAATATAGAGCTCTCCTTGGATCTTTATCCTCTTAGAAATTCCATACGGATTACCACTTTAATTTATTATATATATATATATATATATATATATGAAGAAATAACCATACATAGAATCAATATATATATTGAGAAAAGAGATAGATAGATAGATAGATAGATAGATAGATAGATAGATAGATAGAGAATTAGATAATACGAATATCTATCTAGATGGATTATAAAAGATTGATATATATATATATATATATATATATATATATATATATATATATATATATGTGTGTGTGTGTGTGTGTATGTATATATACATATATAGAAAGAGAGAGAGTGAGATAGATAGAAACAGATTTACATAATGCAAAGATCTATCTATCTAGTTTAGAAAATAGATAGATAGAAACAGAATTAGATAATGCAAAGATCTAGATAGATTAGAAAAGTTATAGATAGATAGATAGATAGATAGATAGATAGATAGATAGATAGATAGACAGAAAGAAAGTAACAGAATTAGATAATACAAAGATCTATCTAGATAGATTAAAAAGACATAGATAGATAGATAGATAGATAGATAGATAGATAGATAGATAGATAGATAGATAGATAGATAGGAAACAAAAGGCAAAAAAAAAAGTAGAAATTTGAATTTTAGCGGATACCTATTCCTCACCTTGCAAGATATGTAGTGCCTCAATGGTACATTTATTGGAACTCTAAGATGGTTATGCATGATTTCTCAAAGAACCGGACACTAACGGTTCATCTATTTCTGAGAGAAGTCATTAACTCTGTCTATTGAAGCTAAACGAAAGAGTTGAATTGCAAAGACATTTTTCCAATTTTGTTTAATTTTAAAAAAAATTTTTGTCTTTAAATAAATAATAATTCATAGATATTAGATATTTTTCTATTTGGACAAGCATGCATATCTTGGTTATTATGGTCACAAAGTTTCACTTGTTGCACTCTCCGACCATCTTCAGGTGTTTATCTTTATACTCTGGAACTTTCCTGGAATTTGAAACGGAATTCTTTATCCAATTCATGGGATATTTGTAATTGGTTAATGCTCGCCAGTGTTAGTCACATTTGGGTCACTTTTTTAATCATTTCCCCCCCCCCCCAACCAAGCGATGTATGGGATTACTGGGAGGGAAAGAGAATGAGAAGATTATTGAGGAGAAAGGACAATAAAAGAAGAGGTTTCATGAAGACAGCAGATAGCGATTGACGTTGCACTTAAATTTTGGAAGATTGGCAAGAAAACAAGAAGCCAGAAGGAAGTTCCACAGATGAGAAAAGAAAGTTTTGGAATATAAATTACAGTTAAATCTATATATTTCAAAATTAAAATGGCGAGACCTAGTTGCCAATCTAGTTTATTGTAGGATCATCATACGTTTTATTATCTTCATTATCATGTTTGGTCAGAATTCCATTGACAATCCTTTTCCACACTATTCGATCCTACATTGCTGTTTCCAGATCCCCAATGTTCTACCCTGGATCCCGAGCTATGGTGTCTGGGAAATTCAATTTTTGATGAGAAGACACTTCCAGAAGGATGCCATAGGAGTAAGGAATAGACGATTTCCCTGTTCTCTCGATGGCATTGGCTGGCAAACTGTTATCGTTTTTGTTTGAGCTTAAAGGAAGATTAATCTCAATTGTCCGTTAATTGTGTTAAACGTTGCATATGATCTCCACCTGATGTTCAGAATTTTTCTAAGTAGATTTGTATATGTTCCATCCACTCGTCTTTCAAGACGAGCAGATAATGTCCAAGTTTCGGATCTTTCTGACCATCTTGATGGTCCTTGAATGGACTCCGAAGATGGAAGCCAGTGTTTGAATGTTGGTACCATTACTGAATGATCTTTTTCCTCTCACCATTGCTCAGTTGGGAAATAGTGAGGCTGACACAAAACGATTTTAACCTGTTCTCTTTTTAACTGAATAACTCAAAATTCTTACGACAAATGGTATCAAGGTAGCTAAACCATTTATCTGAAAACCTGGAAAAAAATTCAATTAGTTTAGTGTTTTATTTTATTTTTTTTTTAGATATTAAACATTTTGTGGAATGGATAATTAACCAATGCTGTTACACGATTTGGACAATTTTGATGCTACACCCAGTATATCTTTATCTATCTATCTATCTATCTATCTATCTATCTATCTATCTATCTATCTATCTATTTATTTTCTCCAGATATATATATATATATATATATATATATATATATATATATGTGTGTGTGTGTGTGTGTGTGTGTGTGTGTGTGTGTGTGTATGTCCAGATGCCTTGATCTATCCCCTATCCTTCTCTTCATCCTTTCCTCTATCACTCCTAGTTGCTCTCGCCCAACTCTCTGTAACCCCTTGCGTGCTAGTGGCTTCCCGTCTAGTTTGGGGCGAAACGCTTAAAAAAATCCTTTTCCACACTGTTCGATCCTGCATTGCTGTCCACAGATCCCCAATGTATAACCCTGAGTCCCGAGCTATGGTGTCTGGGAAAGTCAATTTTTGATGAGAAGACACTTCCAGAAGGATGCCATAGGAGTAAGAAATAGACGATTTCCCTGTTTTCTCAATGGCCGCCAAACTGTAATCTTTTTTGTGTGAGCTTAAGGCAGATTGGTCTCAGTTCTCCGTAAACTGTGTTAAGCGTGGCATGGGATCTCCAGATGATGTTCTGGATTTTGCTAAATAGATGTGTATATATTCCATCAAGTCGTTTTAAAAGACGAGCAGATAATGTCCAAGTTTCTTATACATAGAGTAAGACTGGTTCAATCAATGTCATCATCATCATCATCCCGCGGCCTCAGCCGAGATTGAACTCACTACACCTCTCCAGTATTCCCTATCTTTCATAGCACCTAAAAGATCTTCCTTAGGGATCAATGTGTCTCGTTTTATCCTATCTGGAAAGGTTAACTTGCGTGGTCGATTGTCAGATGATGGGTGCCTCCAGAGTACAAATGATGACACAAGTTCATCTGTGGCACGTGCACAATGCCCGGCGAACTGGACACGTCTCCTGCAAACTAAGGTTGATACTCTTGGCAAGTCACCATATATCATTTCTAGAGTTGGGCGGTTTCGCCATGAGAGATTAAGCACTCTTCTTAAAAGACGTGTATAACATCCATCTAAACGGCGCTGTGTTTTGCTGAGAGAGTCCAAGTTTCAGAGCCATAGAGTAAGATTGGCTCAATAAGTACGCGGAAAAGTTGGATTTTGAATTGACAAGCAAGATTAGATTTCCAGATCTTATCCATTTTGTTGCAAGCAGTCCATGCTATGCTTTTTCTAATGTTGAAATCTTTCTCAGAGTTCTTGATGTGTGATCCTAAATACTTGTAGTCTTCGACACATTTGAGGATGTTGTCTGAGAGTGTTTTGATCTCATGATTGTTGCGAATGTTAATTGGCATACACTCAGTTTTGGTTTCATTTAGGTGAAGACTTGCACAGTTAGCTGCTGATTCAAGAGAAGAAAGGAGTGCTTGGGCACTAATGAGGTTGTCAGACAGCAGTGCAATGTCATCGGCAAAATCAGCATCGGTGATGTAAAGTGCAGGATGACGTGAGCTTCTTCTAGGCTGATACATCAGACCATTTTCTTTGATTGTATCCACTGATATACGCATGATGTAGTCTATTACAATGGTGAAAAGGAAAGGTGCTAGTGTGTCACCTTGGAGAATGCCAGCCAGAATATCAAAAGGTTCTGTTTCACCATCTGGGTTCAGGACAGTGGCCTGTGTGTTGGTATACAATACTTTGCTTCAATGATTTCTACTGGTATGCCATAGAGTTCAAGAATTTCAAACATAATCTCGCGGTTGACTGAGTCGAAAGCTTTGCTGAAGTCTACAAAAATAAGAGCTGCAGTTTTATCGCATAATGTGATTTCCTCAATTATTCTACGCAATGTGAGGATTTGTCCATATATATAGGAGGCACGGTGCAGTAATGGGTAGCGGCTTGGATTGAGGAATTGGAGAGCAGAGTTCGAATTCCAGTCGAATCCATTACATTCACTTACGTGCTAATACCCTTGGGAAAGGTGTGAATCCGTTTCTTCTCCCTCCACCAATGGGTAAATAGCAGGACAGACTGGGTTCTATAGCCTTGGATGGCAAGTGGTCTAGGAGAAGGACAACTCTGAATTCAAAACCTAGGGACCTTGTGGCACTTAGTGCACTAGGTCTCTGAATTTGGCCCTTCAAAAAGTGTGGCTTGTCTTGCACGAAACCTTCACCACTATAATCAAATCTCATGTGCTGTGGACGGGCTGTCGGTTTCCTGGGAACTGATTTGCTTGACCCGCATACGTCGAATTCGACGGGAGAGACGACTATATACGGGTGTAACAGCCAAATTGTCCAAATTGGAAGTCTGAACCGTTGTATCTTAGAAATGATTAAAGATATCTTACTGGAATTTTCCGATGTTTTTATAACACTTTGAGCAATAAAAATGTATAATTACCCTCCAAGCTTAATAGAAGAATCGTGATTAAATCGGTCATAAACGAAAATGACGTGTTCATCATTAATTAATCATAGCTAAGGATCGGAAACACATGAAGGATTGAAATAAAGTTCAAAGTTCAAATATATATATATATATATTATTGCAGGACCGTTTTCCAACTTATTCAAGATGATCTTCACCCTCTCTAACTGTCTAACCTTCTGTCCTGGAGTAACAATGTGCCTCACTCGTTTCACGTAGGATTCCATTGTCAAGTCTTTTTGCATTGCTCTTTGGACTGTCATAGTTGAAACTCATCTTTTACGTACCAAAAGTCTTATTGATTGAGTTGGATCTTTTCTAATTTATCTCTTTAAAACTAATTTGAAATGATGGTCCCTTTTCTTATTGTGGCCTCCTGGTCCAGATTTCCTCTTTATTGTTCCCTCTTTTTTTTAAACTAATTCATCGTTTTCCTTTCTTCAAGGAAGGAAGGAAGAATGAAAGAAGGAAAGAAAGAAAAAGAATAAAGAAAAGAAAAAAAAAGAAAGAAACACTCTGCCAATACTTAAAAAGTAACGGACTCTTCTGTTTTAATCACGAGGAAAGACGGAAAAGACATATCAAAGACGCTGTTTTGCTTCCTTTGAGAAACAGAAAGAAAGAGAGAAGGAAGGAAAGAAAGAAGAAAAGAAAAAAGGAAAAAAAAAAAAGAAAAACGCTTTGCTATTACTTCATAAATAACGGATTCTTCCATTTTGATCAGGAGGAAAGACAGAGAAGACATATCAGAGATTGCGTCTTAGTGGCTTTATTGCCTTACTTGAGATGAAATGATTAAAAATGTAAATGAAAGTATTAAATGAATACAGAAAATGATAGCAAGTAAAAAAGAAAACAAGATGAAAACATATATATATATATCCTGTCAGATTTTTTTAGGTAAGTCAATGAAATTAATATTAATTGATTTTGGTATAATTTTAAGAATATACTTATGCTAATATGAACATATATAACAGATTGAAATTAGCATACCGATCGTTAAAATTATCAGTAATATATTTTTTTTGAGCGTCACTTTTAATTATCCAAAAGAGTCCAACAAAATTTTTATCTCGAAATAAATCCAAAGAATATAAGTCATAAAACCACATTTGGCTAACACAATCTTACTTATTATAAAACGCAGATTTTGTGTGTGTTTGTGTGTGTGTGTGTGTGTGTGTGTGTGTGTGTGTGTGTGTGCGTTTATATATTGGATCGGATTTCCTACATTTTTTAACCGATTTCAACAAAACTTCACAGGACTACGTAAAATTACATTGCGATGGTTCTGACAGTGCCAAAAATTGGAAAAACACAATTGTTTTTGCACGAAATCAATTTGAAAACACGATTAAGAGGCATTAATGAAAGGGGGACAACTCATATCGAGTTATACTTATTAATATCGAGTTATTGAGTTATACTTATTATAAAACCCTGGTTGGTTGTGTCTGTGTGTGTGTGTGTGTGTGTGTGTGTGTGTGTGTGTGTGTGTGTGTGTTCGTTTATATATGGGATCGGATTTCCTACATTTTTCAACCGATTTCAACAAAACTTCACTTTTTTTTTTGCAGGTAGTGTTTCTTATTGTCTTGCACACTTTTTTTTTTATTTCTACATTCAGAATGCTTTAAAAATTCCATTTACAAGACAATTGTTTATAATAAAATTCTATTCAATCGGTAGACTCATAACAATTGAAAACAATGTTTTTTTTTTTGAGTTTGACCAATTCGTAAAAAAAAAAAAAAAAAAAAAAAAAGACATTAAGACATGTGTCCGTCAACCTTAAACAATAATCTTTGTCAATTTTATTTTTCAGTCTTTATGATGGTCGATACTTGATCTATCTCTTTGTTGTTACATCCCCCCTAACGCCGGGCTCTACTGCTAGTATCCTATAAAAGTGAAGAAATTATTATTTTACTATTCTTAATCTTAATATGGGCTCGTTGAAATTCTATGACCTTCATCAGGCTTTTATATATGAATTTCGTTAACTTTTCAACTTTTTCAATTTTAATATTTCTTTCATCAATTTTGATTACTTCTTATCCTTATTCTCACCACTCCTTTTGTTAAATATTTAAATGGAATGCTTTTTTTTCACGAATGCGCACAGTCCAAATTGAAATTGGGCAAGATATTTTTTGCGTATCTAATAAAAGGGATGGTTGGTATATGTATGTTGGATTTTTTTTCCAAAACCGGTAATCTTCGCAACCCATTTAGTTAAAGCACCACGTTTACGAAAATGAATAACAAAAATAAATAAATGAATAAATAAATAAAAGAAATAATAAATAAATAAATACATAAATAAAAAGTCGGTACGTACATATGTAAGTATAAAGATGTCTTTATGAATTCTCTTGATTGGGATATTTACCAGACAAGTTGCTATTACATCTTCGGAACGTCCCTCCCACCATACAAACTGCTACCATTAAGTTTCTTTCTAGAAATAGAACAAGGGGGCGGATGGATAAAAAGTGTAATGGAAAATCCTAAGTCAGAATATTTGAATAACTATTTTTCTCCATACGCTTGGAAAAGCAATCTGGGATCAGTGACTGTGTGGTTGGAAAGTAAACCGAGTCGTTAAAGAAATCAACAAAGCCATTAGTAAATGAATGATTCAAGAAGGCTCCGAGTTCATTCGACTTAGCAAACACTGGGCCAACAGAGAGTTACTGTCATGTATACAGCCAATCATAACAAAGGATAAAACCGTGGAAATATTATTATTGTTGCTAAGAGGTTGACTGTTGTCGCAGTCAGCCATAGTGGCAGTGTTTATTGATCAAACACGAGAGCCAGAACATAACCCATTTTATAGTGATTCCAAATTATTGATTTGATTTGTCTTATTTTATATCACTTCAGAGTGTGGGCTGTCATGGCTCCCCACAATTCCCTATCCTTTCTAGCTCTTAGTAATCTTTGTCTTTTTGCTGTACTTTACTCACGGTTTTCCTTTTCCTCTCCGTCCTAGGTATGACGATAAACTACATCCGCGTCCTGGGTAAGACGACAAACTACATCCAACAGCAAGGCCTCTGTTCAGGAGGTTTTGAGGAGCACGGAACCACCTCTTAATTGTTGGTGTCCCCAGGTACGCACTGACCCCGGGTGGTAGAACCTGTTAGGGTCCCAGCTATGGGCAAACAGTTAACACCAAAACTTGAGTCAAAATACTATGAAAGCGTAAATACCAGAAATACTTTTAAAAAATTATTACCAGCAATACATTTTTGAAAAGAGATAAAAGATATTATCAGCAATATATTTTTTGAAAAAAATATCAGCAATAAAAATCTTGTGGGCATTAAATAACCCATTGAGGTTGATATGCCGTAAAAGAAAACAAACCAAACCAATATATACTGAGATAGATAGATAGATAGATAGATAGATAGATAGATAGATAGATATTGCTATTCAATAGAATCTTGGCATTAAATCTAACAGGTAGTGCTTGAAAGAAAACAAAACAAACCAATATATACTGAGATAGATAGATAGGTCCTGAGAAAAAATCTTGTGGGCACCCAGAGGTTGATTAAGAAAAAAACAAACGATTATACTTAGATAGATCAGATAGATTTCCTAATAAACCTCCTGATCAGAGGCCTTTATTTCACGGTCCTAGATAGATAGAGGCCTTTCTAGATAGATATAGATAGATAGATAGAGATAGATAAAAAGTATTACCAGCAATAAAAGTTTTGTCGGCATTAAATAACCTATTGAGGTTGATATGCCGTAAAGCAAACCAAAGCAAACCAAAACCTTTTCCTCTATCCTGTGAATGTCAAATTTTGCAAACAGATTTTCTCATTAAGGGTCCAACTTTCTAAGTCAAGGTATGAATATCTCTTTTGCTTCCATTTTCATTAAAAATTACTTGTTAATCACATACTCTATCCAAGGTATCCTCGGCAACGTTTTGTAGGACTACAGGGTCGCACTAAAGTTTACCAGCTCTAGAAGACAGCTTGACAAATATTACGATATTCTTTATACTGATCTTTCTTACCCAATTTTCCAACTTGTACATGAAAGCTTTCAAGGGATCCATGAATTTTATGATGTTCATATTCCTTCCTTGCATCTGAAGATTCAGTTTATTCAGCTGCTCAAAAATATCAACCAAATAGGCAAGGTGCATGATTCATTATCATCAAGCCAGGATCAAAATTTCCATTTTTGACCTGAACTTCAAATAATAGTTTGAGCCCATCTCTAAGCTTAAATATTCGCTAAATTGCATTTCCTATTGATAGCCATCGAACATTTGTGTGGAAAAGAAGCAAATGATGGTCTGCATTCATATCGAATGATGGCCTGCTTCAAAAATCGTGAGTTGAGACTAATTCCTTTGAGAAAATTCACAATCTGAATTCACAGAAAATATTCGTCCTCCGACAGGATTCGAACCTGTATCCTATAAGGAACCGTTATTTAGCTTGACGTGCCTTTAACCGATTTGGCCACAGAGGAGAGTTCGGTAAGCAAGGTCGAGTTTATATATATATAGGTAATAATCTTTGGTATATAATCCAAGTGAATCCTAATAATATAAAATATGAAAACTGATCCACAAAGAGAGCTCAGTGTATTTATTATAACAGATCATATAGAAATAAATAAATTATATAGAAAAGAAATTCAAAAGTAACCCATTTGAATAGCTATTTCAATTTAAAAAAGCTTTTTGAAGGATTTGTCAACAACAAGGACTTTAGAAATAAAATAAAAATTTTATTCTATTTTATTTCTTAACTCCTTCGTGTTGACAAATCCTGCAAGGAAGCCTTTGTAGGGTGAAATAACTATTCAAATGGGGTAATTTTGAATTTTTATTCTATGTAATTTATATATATAAGTGTTGTGGCCTTGTTAGGGCCAGAAATAAAGACACAAACAGAGGAATTGAGTTAAACAAATATATTAACAGAAACAGTAATACAAACATATACAAACGAGAGTGTTACAGCAAGAATGTTCGGTCCGACTGTCAGAGCCGACTGTTGGAAACTTCCCTCTCTAAAAGGCAATACCTGCTCCTATTTATAGCTGGGAGAGTCCATGCGTGCGTGGGTAAATTATCAATAATAATATATATATATATATATATATATATATATATATATATCCCACAAAATAATTTTATGATTCAAGGAACGTTAAAACGTTTTGCAAAATATCAGAGGCCTTGCTAGTTGTTTCAAGACAAGAACAAAAGAGAAATTCCTCTTTAAATAAACCTGAGTGCAAACACCATCAACTGGGAACTCGATGCCACATCAGTCGATTAATCGAGATGAATTGGAAATATGCCAAATGCTTCTAACTTGATCTTCTGTACGACTTGTTCCTTGGCATCAATGGCCATGTCACTGATCCTCCTTTGAACAGTACTGATTGTGGAACCGCTGTAAGTTTTTTCTCCAATGCATTCGCCAACATAATTTCCACGATTTTGAGAGAGCATACGCTCTTTTTTTTTGACATTCATGATCATATCTGTAAATGAAAAAAAATACAAGGAAAAGTCATCTGTAAATAAAAACAAAGAAGAAGTCAAAGTTATTTAGAATTTTTCACAGATAAAAAGTAAAATACTTTTTTATTTAATCTGCAACATGGCTGAATCAAGACATAAAAACAACTGGTGATGTGCATATATATATATATATATATATATATATATATATATATATATATATATATATATATATCCTCCCCAATACTTAGTATACTTGAAAAAAATATTGAATAAACCCTCTCTAAACTCGACCATGTCTCTCAAACCATCCCTCATTACCCCCTCTGTTAAATTACAAAACCTTACATTACCCATCAAAAGTATGAATTTTCATTTCATCTTTTGGAAGTGCTATCTGATGATCCAGAGTCCTTTAAAAGGGCTGTGGTGAAATAAATTATTATAATGGAACCTTAAAGTGGTCTTTTTTTGCTTTAATATATATATATATATATATATATATAAAATATATATATATATATATATATATTTGGTAATATTTTGGAGTTTATGTGAGCGAGCGGCGCTATGTTGAGTCTGATTTGCAATCTCTTAGTCACCGAGGTCCGGTGAAACAGTTGGTATGATGTTTGCATGACAACCTAACTGTCAGGGTTTCAATTCTCGGTAATCGATACGCACTGCTGATGAGTCCCAAATATAAGATGAAACGGCCGTCCAATACTTTCTGCATTCTGTTGAGGTTTCTTTCAGACTCGATGAATTAGTTATATATATATTCATTCTATCAACTCATTCTCTATATAAGGCATGAAAGTGTTGAAAAAAATTATGTAGTACATTATCTGTCGTTTTTAATGAAACATGCACACACACACACACACACATACATATATATATATATATATATATATATATATATATATATATATATATATAAGTTATGAAGAACTTGGTAATCCGTATAATCTAATCCCAAGGAGGATGAAATCCTGAGAACTCAATGTAAATCCAGAGCTACCATTATAATAATTTATTTCACCAGAGTTCTTTTAAAGGACGCCGGATCATCAGATAGCACTTCCAAAAATGAAATGAAATTAAAACTGATGGGTAGTGTAAGTTTTTGTAATTTAAGTTTAGTCTAATTTGAGAGAGATATGAAATTAATCCCTCCCTATAATCTACCATGTCTCTTTAACTACTCCTTTTACACTCTCTGTTAAATTACAAAAACTTATACTACCCATCAATTTTAATTTCATTTTCCATTTCATTTCATTTTTGGAAGTGCTATCTGATGATCAGGCGTCATGTAAAAGGGCTCTGGTGATATAAATTATTATAATGGTACCTTAAAATGGTCTGTTTTTTCTTTAAATTTATATATATATATATATATATATATATATATATATATATATAATATATAAATGTGGGAGATAATGGTTCACGATTAGACCATAGCAAATGAGAAAAGCACAGCCATTAATGTGAGTGCATAACCAACTAAATACTCACTAAAAATGGTAAAAAAACCCACAAGAGCTCACGGAAAGAAAACCCAGGGAGACTCTCTTAGTTGCACGGATCTATCCACATTGCGTGTTTTGCCGCCTTTGGAAGTTCGAAAGTTGACACTTTAAGTCTGTAGTCGCCACAAATCTCCACCCCTGCTGAAAACCCGAAATTCCACCTTAGTGAGAAATTTACCGTTGGTTGAGGACCCTGGGTTTAGGGGTTCACGCAGTTTCATTTCTGTGTCTGTCACCAACATGATGTGCTCACTGATAATTATTTTGTCCTCATGATGTCAGTCATCTTTCTGTTCCTGTTGAATCAGTGCTGCTTCCCTACCTGGGATTGAACTCCCGACCACTAGATGACAGTAACACACGTATAATTAACTTCTATATCCACTATATCACCATCCAAAAACACATTAGTGCTGTGCTTTATGGAGCCTTTTATATTCAATGTCAGATGGGTTTTGACATTTGATTATGATGGCAGGTTCATACCGCTTTTTATAATTTAGCATTTCATTTCAGAGCTGCGTAATTGTCAATATACTTCTTTTATTTTGACTTTTTGTTTTCATTTTGCTTGATATAAATGTTATTACAGACGCAACATTTCGGCCAAGTACTCTCTGGTCATCATCAGGTGTCCATTTATTGGCTGTTAACCTATTCATTATTGTGATCTTTTGTCCTTATGAAACAAGCTATTGTTCATTCCTGTTGAATGGGAGATTCACTACCCGATCCAGTGATTGAACTAACGACCACAACATGACTGCAACCCATGTATAGTCAACTCTTATATCCGTTATGCCACCATCCCAAAGGGCCGATGTTTTGTATCTGCTATTAGTGACGCCACGTGGTGGATTGTCTTATTTATTGTAATTCGCCACGAAAAGTGAATGTAGGTGGTAACATTCTTATGGCATGATATTTTAATTTGAAGACTGAGAAACTTTTGGAACCACCCTTTTTGGACAAGTGTACCTTTGTAATTGAACAAGTTTATGACATTATCACTTTCCACATTGGTCTGTTAAAATGTAAATATCTTAGCAGTCGCCCTACTTCTGCTTACTACAACATTCTCATCTCAAAGAATAGAGCATTGTCAGCAGGAGCTACAATGGACTACAGTGATAAAAAAAAACAAAAAAAACATTCCTCCTGCTATGGAATAAATAAAAGGGTAAACTGGGATTTATAGCCTTGAGAAGGACAACTCTGAATTCCAAGTCGAAGGGCAGAGTCTCGTCTCGGGAAACAGCTACCCGACCCCGTTTTATACGGAATTCGTCCTTGTGCCACATCTGACCGCGTTGATAGATATCCTGTAGTTCGAGATTTGACTCCAGCTATGCTGGTCAAGCCCTCTGCCTCCGGGCAGAGTGGATCCCCAGACGAGTCTATGTCGAAGGGCAGAGTCTCGTCTCGGGAAACAGCTACCCGACCCAGTTTTATACGGAATTCGTCCTTGTGCCACATCGGACCGCGTTGGTAGATATCCTGTTGTTCGAGATTTGACTCCAGCTATTCTGGTCAAAAGTTCTGTCTCCGGGCAGAGTGGGATCAAAGACGAGTCTATGTCGAAGGGCAGAGTCTCGTCTCGAAACAGCTACCCGACCCTGTTTTTATACGGGGTCTGCGGGGGACTTTGCCCGAGCCTACGGGCTCGGATACCCCACATTAAATTAGCCTTTGTGCCACA